TTCTCCTTCCTCATACTGCTTCCTGCCTCTTCCTCTTCCATCCTCCCCTTGTGTCCTCCTCCTTCGTCCCGCCATCTTTCCCCTCCTCCTCCTCCTCCGCTCTTCCTACTCTGCCTTCCTCCCTTCTCCTTCCCACACTCCTCTCCCTCTCCTCTTTCGCACCCCCTCCTCCTCCAGCCTTCCCCTCTCCTCCTTCGTCCCCCCATCCTCCTCCTCCTCTTCTTCCTTCCGCCTCCCCCCCTCCTCCCCATTCTCCTCCTCTCCCTTTCCCATCCTCCTCCTCCTCTTCTTCCTTCCACCCCACCCCCCAATGCCACCCCGGGGTCTCAAGGGCAAACCGAAATAGGAAAAAGAGATCTTGCTCGCCAAAAGATTTTTTTTTTTTCTGAGATACGCATATATATATATATATATATATATATATATATATATATATATATATATATATATATATATATATATTATATATATATATATATATATATATATATATATATATATATATATATATATATATATATATACATATATATATATATATATATATATATATATATATATATATATATATATATATATATATATATATATATATATATATATATATATATATATAAACCTTTGGGAGCAAGACAAAAAAAAAAAAAAAATAGACGGAAAATAATGTTATGTATACATTTCTCTTGTTCTTTCTTTTATTTAGAGGTTGATTTTTTTTTTTCAATCCTTCCTATCATTTGTTCCTCTCTGTCTATTTTTTGTCTTCTTTTCTCTCCTTATCTCTCTTTCTCTTCCTCTTAGATTTCTTTCTCTTTCTGTCCTTATCCCTTCTTCCGTCCTTCTTAGCGAACATTTTCTTTCTTCCCTTCTTTTTATCTACTTATTTTTCTTTCCACTTTCTAAAACGAAACTTGACTTTCTCTCCCCCCCCCCCTTTTGCCTTCTCTTCTCTCTTTCACTCACTTTCACTCTCCTCACTCCTCCCACTCTCTCTCTCTCACTCATTTTCACTCTCCCTCCCTCCTCCCACTCTCTCTCTCTCTCACTCACTTTCACTCTCCTCTCACTCACTTTCACTCCCTCTCACTCTTCTCCTCTCCTCACTCACTCACTCTCTCTCTCTCACTCTTTCACTCTCTTCTCACTTTCACTCCTCCCTCCCACTCTCTCTCACTCACTTTCACTCTCCTCTCACTCACTTTCACTCTCCCCTCCTCCCACTCTCTCACTCCACTTTCACTCTCCCTCCCTCTCTCCTCCACTCTCTCTCTCTCACTCTCCTCCTCCCTCCCACTCTCCCCTCTCTCACCACTCATCCCACCTCTCTCTCTCACTTTCACTCTCCCTCCTCCTCTCACTCACTTTCACTCTCCCTCCCTCCTCCCCTCTCTCTCACTCACTTTCACTCTCCCTCCCTCCCTCCCACTCTCTCTCTCTCTCACTCACTCTTCCTCCCTCCTCTCTCCTCTCTCACTCACTTTCACTCTCCCTCCTCCTCTCACTATCTCTCTCTCACTCACTTTCACTCTCCCTCCCTCCCTCCCACTCTCTTTCTCTCTCACTCACTTTCACTCTCCCTCCCTCCCACTCTCCTCTCTCTCTCACTCACTTTCACTCTCTCCCTCCCTCCACTCTCTTTCTCTCTCAACTCACTTCACTCTCCTCCCTCCTCTCTCTCACTCACTTTCACTCTCCTCCCTCCC